TCAGTGCGCTCGCCCACGTGCGAGACTAACTAACCTGTTGACCATGGTCCAAGCCTACCTCGATAGCGATCCACCGCGCCGTTGCGCTTTGCCAACGACTGCGGCTAGGGCCCGCGTGCCCCAATATTTAAGGCGCTAGCTCATACTTAACCGCCTAGACGCTTTGCTTGCTTGAGTTGCCTAAGTATTGCACAGCTAACTTCCCCTGCGCATGGACGCCTACCCGATTAGTTGCCACCCCTAACCAGATAGGACGCCCGGGGTCGTTAGTGCACTTAACACCTTAGTTGATGAACTAACAGCGCAATAAGTAAGTTTTGAACGAGCTATAGTACAGACAAAATAGGGGGAGGGACGCAGCTAACCCCTGCGGCAGTGGTAGTGCCTTTTTTACCGGCTTTGATTACTTACCTTTGCCGAACGGGAACGTTTCGCCGACGCACGATGCACCATGTTGCGAATCGGTGACCGCGAGGGGGGAAACCCACGTAACCTGAAGAGGAACGCGTGAGCTTCCTAAGCGCGAACCCCAAGTGAAGCGACACCTTGATACGCTTACAACCCTAAGTGCTTGTTACGGACCTACGTGAACGTTATGAACTAAGCGCGCGCGTGCTACGAACCCCTACTAGCACCACTCCTCTGGCCCTAAGTTAGGTGACAGACGTCTTAGAGAACGATACCTTAGGATAATACCTCACAACACAAATACACGATATTTACTAATTATTTATGTATTACTATTAAACCTTAGACTACCTAAGTTACAAGGAATGTTAGTAAGTGAAGTAAAAAAAGGGAACTCACGTCGGGTCTCTGCCACAGACCCGCCAGACGACCAACTTCCAATAGAATTTAGATATCGATAGATAAATCCACAACAAGATATTTTCCATGATAGTTCTAAGGGCTCAAAGCCCCACGGGATCGCCGTACATAGATTGATGACGCAGGATACCCATGACGTAAGAGGAACCCAGGTCAGGTTCGTGATGTTGCTGTCGATAACAGCACCGTGCGTTGCCGCACGATCACGAAGTAGATATATAGGGGTCATGACGGCGACTACCCGCGGGCACCGGCGCACCCCGGATTCCCTCGGAGCGATCATCGCGTTCGCGACACTCCCGGCCTTCCAAAAGAATCCGTTGTGGGCATAAGCCCCAGACCCCCGTCTGAGGGCGTAGCGTCCGGTGACTGCTAAGAACCATTGGCCGATGGCCGCAAAAGAAATGAAAAGGCATATAATTTTAAGTTGGTCCCCTGACAAGTTTGGTAGAAGAGGCGCCGTAACCTACTGCGACTTAAAAGGGGTTAGTACTCAATAAAATAATACTACGCACAAGAGAAATAAATGTACTAAACATTACATAAAACTTCTTTTGATAAAACGGGTTAGTATACGACAACAAATTACAAATAAAACACGAAATTAATGGGTTAGTGACAACAAAGAAATAATGAACTAAAGAGATCACTGCCGTAAAAGACCGACGTAACGAACCGACCAAATACAACGTCCACCACGAACGACGCATCTGAACGGAACCGAGGTAAGAGACGAAAACGACGACAAAAAATGAAATAAACTCAGGAATAGGATCCTGGAGTTATAGCCGTAAAGCGCTGTCGTAGAGGTAGCGATGGAGGCATGTGGTCTGATCGGAACGACGAACCTGAACGAAAATAATTTAGGGCTGAAATATTTGCAAGAAGGAAAATAAACTCAGGATTGTGATCCTGAAGTGAATTGACGCCGTAAAACATCGTCGTAGAGGAAACGTCGTAGACTCGAATCGGCGGACACGAACGGACCTGAAACGAGACGAAGAATTAAACACTCGAAAAGGAAAGGAGAAAGAAATAAACTCAGGAAAGAATCCTGAGGAAATCTTCGCCGTAAAAGATCGACATAAAGATCAGACGTATGACACCGACAGCTATTCCGTCAACCAGCATACCTGAACAATTAATATTAGTTTCCCTCTAATCACTTACCGCTTACCAGCTAATAGTTGTCGTAATCTTCGGTCGTAAATCTCTCGACTTATGACGACGGCGAGTGAATAGAGAGGTGAACTACTGAACTACTGCACGTTGATATATGTGAACTAGGCTATATTCGAGAATTCTGGACTATTAACGTTGTAGGAGTAGTGAACTATCGTAGTGTTGTAAGGTTACTAATGAACTATCAATGGGCTGTAAAGAATCGACATAACTGAACTATTGTATTATCCTTCTACCATGACTCATCACTATTGGCCGGCGAGAACCCCATGTCTCTATAAGCTCCCGAGGTCGAGGGTTCCGGGGAACGCTCTCGCTCCGGAGGTGGTGGCTGACGATCCGACTGTCCTGAACGTTCCTGCTCTTCTGTCCGACTACGCTCTCGATAGGAACACTGGTAGGGCCGACGCGTTGCTGCACCAGGTGGAGGCTCTCTGTAGGTCCTGAATCGGAGATCGTCGAAGAATCGCTCCGGCGGGTCGTCGATATCGAAAACCGAGAAGTGGTTCCTATTACAGAACGCACGATGATGACCTTCCTGTTGACACACACTGCACGGGTCCTTGCGGATGCAGATTCCATAATGCGGCTTGAGACAGTTGCAGCAGAGTCCGAAACTCTCGGCCAAGTGCGCTCTGGAACTGACGTACGGGTACTTGTCACAGTCCGACGAGTAGTGCCCTGTGCCATGACAGAAGGCACACGGCTCGACCTTCCCGTGACTTTCCGATGGGGCCGCACGAGTGGGGAACCTGGAACGAGAACGACTAGGGGCCGGAGGGCCACGGCTCACTGGTCTGCGATCTGAACTACGACTCGGAGACCTGCGTGGGGGAGTACGGCGTGTTTTAACCGGAGGCGGCCTCGTTTCTGGAGCTGAACTATCGTCTCCACGCTTCCTTTTTCCCAAAGCTTGAGATTCCTCGCGACGACCAGCAGCTGAAGTGGACGGATGTCCAGCCTCCGGGGGCACGAGGGGGTCCGACGTTGGCCATGCGGTTGGAGGGGGCAACTTGGGAACCGTTATTTGGGTTAGGGGACGCTGTGGGACCTGTGGAGCGGGACGTTGTTGAAGTCCTTGAGCCTGCTCTTGAAGTATTCTATCGATCCTCGAAATCTGGAGATATTCTTCCGTGGTCCTGATCATAAGGGCATGGGAATAGTTGTCACGCCACCATCTAAGGGATTGAATATAAGATTCGGGTTCTTCCGGCCAAGGAGGAGGCATGCTAACCGCTGAATTAAGCCTGTATTCTTCATCTTCTGAAGTAACTCGCACTCTTCTTCGATTGAAGATGTGCACCATCTGATGGGCCTCTAGTACCCTGATCATGCGAGTAGCATGTGCATGAACAGCTGAACTATGCATCAATATTTCCCTTAGGGTGTCTTCTGTAATACCGAAAAGTTGTAATGTGGCTCTGAAGTAGTCTTGGTCATGCGACCACTGGAGTAGTCTAGGTAGAATCAACTCCTGGAGTTGGTCTCTATTCACTGTCATAGCTGTGGTGCTATGAGTCAGTTCATGGATCCAACCCATGAGGTGAGTATACCTAATCTCGAGTGGTTGCCTACGAACTAGAATGACAGCCAAATTATGAAAAGATTGAGTGGTATGTTGAACTATCTCAAGAAGTGTCTGGAGTAGGTGGACTATTCTGGAGACTAATTCAAAGTCCGAAGGACGAGCTGGAGTAGTTTCTCTATCTGGTACTGTAATATTCCTGATTCTGTCCCTGAGGACATTGTTTGTAGTAATATAATCAAAGACCGTTCTGAACTGACGAGCTGTAAGCTCTTCGACAGTATACGGCTCAACCTGGAATGTACTATGAGGGGTCACAATGGGCCTACGTTGTAGTGTACTAGGCGCAGGATTGACTCTGAGAGGCGGTTCCGCTCTTCCTTCCCTTTCTCTCTGCCTGTCTCTCCTGTCCATGTACTCTTCTAAGAACGTAACGACGGCTTCCATCCTCTCCTTCCTTCTTTTGAGGGCTTCGTCCTTCTCTTCTCTATCCCTCTGGATGTTCTTTCCAGCCGCAATTGCCGTCTCCCACGATGTGCCTGGCACTGTAAAAGTTGGCTGAGTGGGGGCCATCGTAGTTGGAGCCCAATCCCCTGGGTCAACATTATGAACTAAAGGTGGATTCTCCTTGCTGACTTCCGACGTATCCATCTCTTCCTCCACTTCCTGCACTTCCTGTACGCCCTGGGACTTCTTATTTTCCACGCCCGACGTCGAAGTCGCTGTCGAAACCTCAGCCTCTGCTCCTTGTCCATCTTTCTTCTTCGTCTTCGATACCGTTTTCGAACCTTCCGAAGCCATCTGATCGGCCCAAGATGTCCTAACCTGCGGTTCTACGAACGGAGATGAACTAGGAGGGGGACGGGGTTGTTCCGAGCGGACCGGTGGGCGTGAACTACCACGGGACGGTTGAGCCGGAGTGGACTGGGGAGGGGGACGAGATGAACTATGAGTAGTCGTATTGGACCTACCTCGAACAGAAGCCCGACGAGACCAACCACGAGTACTACTAGGGGGATCCTTCCTAGGATTCTTCTCAGGAAACACCATAATCGCACGAAATCGCACTTAACCAAGTCCTATAACAACTACCGCTAAGGAGGCTACATGACCGGCAGAGTGATCGATAGTGCGCCCGACATAGATAACTTATCGATTGAAATTTTAACAATTGAAACAAAAACGCAGCTAAGTAAAGCAAGTGTTAGTAACTGTTAAGAAAAATGAAGTGTTAGTATGACGTAAAAGAACTTTTGAAAGTAAGCGCCAAAATGCGAAAATACGATTTTTGGATTTGACGACTAGTGTTAGAATGAAAGACTTAATTGGACTAGGATAAGTGACGAAATGATAAACTTATTGAGAAAATACCCTGAGACTAGAAAGGAGACAACAAAATTATTATCTGCGAAAGGCGTCGCCTTTTTGACTAGGATGAGACTTTCCTACGGTGGCGACTAGAACATGATAAAAAACGACTATGAAAGCAATGAGCGATCCGAAGATCGGCTAAAAAGTGAAACGATGTTAGTAGTGATAAAAACGTTGTTAGTAGAATCGAAAGTGATGAGAATAAAGTAACCAGTAAGGTCATCAACGACCGCATCGACGAAAATGAGAATTTCTGATTTCGTCATGCTGACGTTGGCGGCTGTCTTACTGTATCGATCGCCTCGGGATCTATCCCGATTTGACCTCTCGCTGCCTTTAGCTACAATACTCTATAGCGTGTTAGTAGGTTATGTTACCTAATTACAATGTTAGTATCGCGCCGGAGTGTTAATACATTTCTTTGTACTATCGAGAAGAGTGAAGAACTGAACTGCTAGGTTAGTACAAAATAAAGAAGAGTGTTAGTTTCAAGTGAACTATTAGAAGAAGTAATTGATTTCGACATAAAGAATCTTGTCAATAATTAATCGTCGGGTTAGTATGTTTTGTTAGTTAATAAGAAAATTGAACTTACCTGGGAGTTCTTCTTTTCGCTCTTCTATCCGGCTGAATTCGACTCGGCTGCTCGACTCGTTTTTGCTTCGTCATAACTGCCTTGTCTTCTGTCGAAACTTCCAGTGGGATTAATTGATTGATGGAACGATCTAAAAATTTATTACCATTAGTCTTTACTTTCACAGAACGGATGAATCCGTCAACGGATTCGTTGATTTGTACTATGAGGCCCAAAGGCCACAACGACCGTGAAATATTTTCTTGTTTAATTAGTACAACATCTCCGACTCTTGGACTACTCTTTGAACCTTGCTTCTGCGGATGTCTTTTTTGATTCCGTTCCGCAAGATTCTGGAGGTAATCTTTATGCCAATGCTGCCAAAACGTTTCTAAGGCGTCTTGGAGCACAGTGTATGATTGTATTAGTTCTTCGTGCGAGTCGGAAATGTTAGTACTATCGATTGACCCCATATTAGATGGTGTGAAGTATGGGTTAATGAGGTCAATCGGTCGTAGTACAAATCCCGTATCTGTTGAACTAGTCACCACTGGAGTAATTGGGCGAGTGTTAAGAGTCGCCTCTATTTCTGAGATGAGGGTTTGAAGGGTCCACAGGTCTAGAATCCTTCTGTGAATCGTCTTTTTCAGAGCCGACTTCACGGATCCTACTAATCTCTCGTAGAAGCCTCCTTTCCATGGGGACAGGGGCGTAATGAAGTTCCATTTGAGATTTTGGGATGACGTGAAGTTTTGGACTACGGGGTGTTCCTTCAGTGCGTGTAACTCGTTCACGAGAATTTCTTTTCCTAACTTGAACGTTGGCGCGTTGTCGCTCAGAACTAGGTTCGGAGCTCCTCTACGTGCCATAAACCTTCTGAACGCTAGGAGGAATTGCGGTGCTGAGTTATCCGCTACGACTTCCAAGTGCAGAGCGCGTGTTGCCATGCACGTGAATAGACACACCCAAACTTTTCGATCTTCACCAGACTCTGGACGAATCAGAAGGGGACCGAAGTAATCTAGACCTGTGTTTTGAAAGGGTCTACTTCGAACTACCCTCTGGCTGGGGAGGTCTGGAATATTGGGGTACGAGAAGGATCTACCCTGGTGTCTTTTGCAGGCGACACACTTCGAGATGACGCTGTTCACTACTCTCCGGATTCTTGGGATGAGATAGTGATCCCTCAGCTCCGAGATTAAGTGCGGTGCTCCAGCATGGAATAATTTTTCATGCTTCTCCGTAACAATAAGTCTCGTCAACTGATGTTTTGGCAGTAGCAGAATTGGGGCCTTTGCAGACTCCTTCATCTCTGCGTTCGCCATACGTAAGTTGCCGCGATAGATTCCTTCGTCGTCTAACGTTATCTGGAGACGTTTCACAGCACGACCTAGGAGTTGAAGTTGTCCTTCTCGATAGTGCTCCCGAAGGAGAATGACTTCCGCTGCCTTCATATCGTCTGCGGTAATCGTTGACGTCTGCGACACGAGGTTGAAGATCCTGGAATGAGTTGACCTCCCTTCTTTACACCTATGCCAGAGGTTTGCAATATACTTTAAGACATACGAGGTAATTCGAACTAGTTTTTTATATGAATTAGTTTTATTGAATGGAATAAATGAACTGTAAACTTCTACTGACGTAGCTGTTACAGACTTAATTTCTTGCTCGGCTTCTTTCGACATAATCGTTTTTGAGTCAAAATTCATATTGTTATTAGGCCAAGTGTTTGGTGGAGAAAGAATGAAATCCGGCCCATGCCACCACATGTGCTGTACTAACTCGGAGGCTGATAGGCCTCGAGTAGCACAGTCGGCTGGATTACTATCTGTGTTGACGTAATGGAATTTGTATTTAATGTTCTCTCCTGAGAGTTCGTCCACTACCTCTTTAATGAACTTGACCCGATTATTGACAAACGTTTTGAGCTGCTTATTGGAATGAATCCAGTAGAGAGCTATCTGCGAATCCGAGAGTATCTGGACTGAATTAAGCGGCACCTTTAGGTGCTTCCGTAGAAAGCGAACTAGCTTGGCTGCCAGGACGGAGCCCAGTAATTCTAGCCTTGGAATAGTGGTCTTCTTCATGTCAGCCAGCTTGGCTTTGGAGAAGATCAGATTGCTAAAGGGCTTGCCTTTGGCAGGTCGGCATACTAGGTATGCCACTGCGGCATATACCCTTTGCGATGCATCCGAGAAAACCACTAAGTCGTACTGGACTTTTCCTGTGACTGTAATGAAGCGTGGTACGCTTCCTGTGAATCCTTCCATGTCTTCTGCGATACTCTTCCATTTGGCTGAAGTACTCTCGTCGAATGGATCATCCCAAGAATATTTGTTTACCCAGAGGTCCTGGATAAACATTTTGGCCTTGATGAAGAGTGGATTAAGTAGGCCCAATGGATCGAATGTACATGCGAACGCTTTGAGTGCAGTTCGCTTCGACGTAACTTCTTTCAGGGTGGTCTTGACGGGCACAGTCAGTGTGTCCGTCTCCGTATCCCATCTGAGTCCTAACAGCTTCACTGTGCTGCGCGTGTTCTTCATCCTATCTTGCTCCGGAACGGATTGGACTACTTCCTTACTATTGGACATGAATTCTCGGAAGGTTCATGCCCATCGAGGAGAACGTATTCTTGCATTGACTTCGCTTTCGAATACCTTCTTCGACCGTTTTGGCGCCAATTAAAACATTGTCGACGTAGGTATTTGCAAGAATTTCGTCTTGCAACTCTCCATTCCCATTCCTTTCCAGGGCGTATTTGATGGACATGCTGAGTAGGAACGGTGAAGCATTAACGCCGAAAGGGATACGTGTGAACCTTAGAGTGCGGATGTTGTTTCTTGTGGGTCCCTGAGATGGATCCTTCAACCACAAGAATCTCGTCGCATCTCTCTGGTCCTCTTGAAGCCTGATCTGATGAAAAGCCTTCTCCACGTCCGCAATGATCAATATTGAGGTGAGTCTGGCTCGTAACAGTGTACCGCACAAATCTGGCAGCAACGTTGGTCCTTGGTGGACACAGTCGTTGAGACTTGGAACTCCCTTCATGTGACTTGAAGCATCAAAGACGATGCGCACTTTGGTAGTTGCGCTGTCCTCCTTGATGACCGCCTGGTGTGGGATATAGTACACCCATTTCCCTGTCTTCGAATCACCCTTGACTTCTTCTATGATTCCGGATTTGAGCTGTTGCTCAAATGTCTTGCAGTATTCTTCCCATAACTTGGTGTTATGGTGAAGCTTGTTGTACTGGTTTTCCAACCTTCGTACTGCAAGAGCTTTATTATCCGCCAACGGTGGGTGACTGGATTTCCAAGGGAACTGAACGTAGATGAGACCATTTTCCATCTTGACCGTATCGTAGTAGTGTTGTATTATGCTTGAATCCGTGTCGTCAACGTCGTCCTTCGTGGCGACCGACTCCAATCCGAATAGTTCGTGGACCATCTGATCCGTCTCCGTTGAGTGATCTTGGTGTTCCTCAACCGAGACTTTGTCTGAAACTGCATACACTCGTGACGATGGCGACGACTGATATCCTGATAGGACAGGTCCGAATCTTGTATTTGATTCCACGAGACCTGAGGGAAGCTGACGATTTGAGTTGAAATCGACCACTTTCCAGTAGTAGTCCATGCCAATCAAGACATCCACTTCCGCAGATCTTTCCTTTCGGTTGTGTCCGTGTTCGTCGTCCTCGTTTACGTCGAGTGAAACAGTGGTAATGGACTGACGTGTCCACAAACGGAGTGTTGTCGGTTTACCATTTGCTTTATTGCGAAGCACGACTTTGACGCGATACGATCTTTCCGTGTGGGAATGGCCTCCAAATGTTATTGTAGTAATATCCTGTGGGTTTTCAAGTTCCAATCCCAGATTTCGTGCCGTATCCTGTTTTATGAAACTGTGCTGCGAGCCACTGTCCAAGAGCACTGTCAGCAATTGCTCCATTTTTGAGAAGTTGTTGATGGTCAGTGCTCTGATTATCATGAGACGTGGAGGGTGGAACAGGCTTTCCATTTCTCGCTTGTCAGACTTGGTCTTCTTGTTACGGTTTGCCAACGTCGTTATTTGTGTGGCGTTGGTCTGGTGTGTCTCTTCTCCTTGATAGTCGGAGAAGTCTTCTGCTTCACTTTCCGAGGGGATTTGTTGCTTCCTTGGTCTGGAAGGGCTAGAAGATGAATACGTGTGAGTCGTAGGCGAACGTCTGAATCCTACTCTGGGATGGGGAGATCCCTTACGGTAGCGGTCTGCTCTTCTCGTAGGAGATCTTCCTCTGGGTTCAGGGCTCGTCGACGGAGATCTTCCTCTGTATCCTCTTCTAGAACTACCATCCGAGGAGTAATTGTCTGGCGAGGCTCTTCTCATTGTACGTCTCGCTGCTGGACTAACCGATCTGCTCGAACTGCGGGATCTGCCCTCTTGATAGCATAGGGATTTGTGATGACCACGTCCGCATTTGTAGCATTGTGGCGCACCACATTGAGATCCTCTATGCCCTGCTTCCAAGCATTTCCAGCAGAGATGTAGTTTAATCACCATTCTTCTTCTTTCGTAAGGAGCGACTACCTCTCCACAATCTACCGTTGCATGCTTTCTTCGCAAGCAGAAATTGCAACGTAACTCCTGATCTTTGTGGAGTTTTCCCGTATTGCGAGAGTAGCGCTTTGGTGATTTCTCCCTGCGTGAACTTGAACTTCTTTCTTTAGACCGTCTCGGCATTCCGTGCTTCGATTGTCTTGGACTACTGTGCCTATCGGCAATCGCATATGACCTTGACTTGACCTGAGGAGTTGGATCTGTGTCCTCCATTATCTCCAACTGGTCAATGACCTTATCGAAGGCATCCAGTAGCTCTTCGGCTGTCCAATTGTCATTCCTTCTTCGCATCTCGCCGACTTTTTCCCTTGTCTTTTGAGGGAACTTTGATCTGATTATCCTCATTGTAGTAGTAGATCCGGGCTGCTCATGTAGATTGCTGAGCTGTACCCATATAGCCTTCATCTTGCACAGTGTAGTACGTTGATCCGTCGGAGTAGGCTCTGCTGGTGGCAGAGCTTCGAGTTGTTCCACGAGACGATTCCTTAGTACATCCGGTCTGTTGTATGTACTGAGAAGAAGTTCGATAGCTCTCGGATAGTTCTCGGCGGACAACTGAACTGATGCAATCAGGTCCTTCGCCTTACCACGAAGCTTGCTCTTAAGATGGACGAACTTTGAGGAAGGAACTAAGGCTGGATTATTATGAACGGCTATAGAGAACAACTCCCAGAACTCTGGGAACTCAACCATATCCCCGTCAAAAAATGGAATTTCTAACCTAGGTAATTGAATGCTATTATCTAATTGTAAAATTTGTGTATTATTTTGTTTGTCTTTATCTTGTTGACGAAAAGCTTCTAATTTTGAAACTAACACCTGAGCTTCCACGAGAAGTTGCTCCGCTTGGTTCGCTTCCCAGTGGTTCAGGAAGTCCTGTAGTACATCGTAATGCTTCTTCTCATCCTCCATTTCGTCGACATGATTTTCTCCGCGTTGCCAAGTACTCTTGAGGATGTTCGCCAGATGATTCAAACTTACCACAGTATCCACGATCCAGGTGTTGCTTTTTTCGCCATAACACTCTTGTCTTCCTTGGGTTCCATTTCCATCTCTCTGACCTCGACTAGAATCTTCTCAGCCGCTTTCACCTTCTCCTTCAAGGCATTGGCTGCCTTCGTCATCTGTCCCTTGATGTACGCTGACGCCGGCATCGTAATCGCTGTTGTGACAGGTAAGCCACGAAATTTCCCAAATTTGGGCTGTTAACCTGAAATTCCATTTCGAGTTTGGTCCTTCTTTCCTTGTTGTCCGTGGCAGAATCCGACGTGAGAACCGTGTGACGTGAGGGGAGAATGGTGTTAGTGGGTCCCGAGTGGAAACCCGTAACACCGTGCAAATGTTAAGTGCGAACGACAGCAAATTTGAAACAAAACGTAGCAAATGAACGAAATGTGAAGAAAAGGAACTGGACCTACAGTGTTGTGAGTTTTTTATACTACATTTTTTGATGTGATGTATATTTTACTACATTTTTTTTTGTTGTTGTTATTGCCTACTATAGAAGATGTTACTGGGCCCTGTGGTGCGTAAGTAGAAGTTCGGAACGTTTGATTTTACGATTAGGTCTTTTTAATTTACTGCACTATTGATTGTCCGACGTAGCTATTGATTTACCCTTTATCGCGCCATTGGCTCATAAGTGGTCAAGAAAGCGCCGCTGAACTAGGCAGAAAAGGAGAAAACCTGCACTGAGCGGGTAGACCCATCCGATTAGCACCTACCCAAGCTACCCATTTGGGTGGCCAACCCACAGGTAGAGGGAACGAGCCGGCTCTCCTCAGTGCGCTCGCCCACGTGCGAGACTAACTAACCTGTTGACCATGGTCCAAGCCTACCACGATAGCGATCCACCGCGCCGTTGCGCTTTGCCAACGACTGCGGCTAGGGCCCGCGTGCCCCAATATTTAAGGCGCTAGCTCATACTTAACCGCCTAGACGCTTTGCTTGCTTGAGTTGCCTAAGTATTGCACAGCTAACTTCCCCTGCGCATGGACGCCTACCCGATTAGTTGCCACCCCTAACCAGATAGGACGCCCGGGGTCGTTAGTGCACTTAACACCTTAGTTGATGAACTAACAGCGCAATAAGTAAGTTTTGAACGAGCTATAGTACAGACAAAATAGGGGGAGGGACGCAGCTAACCCCTGCGGCAGTGGTAGTGCCTTTTTTACCGGCTTTGATTACTTACCTTTGCCGAACGGGAACGTTTCGCCGACGCACGATGCACCATGTTGCGAATCGGTGACCGCGAGGGGGGAAACCCACGTAACCTGAAGAGGAACGCGTGAGCTTCCTAAGCGCGAACCCCAACTGAAGCGACATGTTAGCACGCTTACAACCCTAAGTGCTTAATACGGACCTACGTTAACGTTATGAACTACGGGCGCACCTAACCGAACCCCTACTAGCACCACTCCTCTGGCCCTAAGGTAAATGACAAACATATGAACGTACAGTATCTTAGGCTAATACCTCACAACACATTAACACGATAGTTACTAATTATTTATGTATTAATAAACCTTAGACTACCTAAGTTCACAAGGAATGTTAGTAAGTGAAGTAAAATGAAGGAACTCACGTCGGGTCTCTGCCACAGACCCGCCAGACGACCAACATCCGATAGAATTTAGATATCGATAGATATTTCCACAACAAGATATTTTCCATAAATTGTTCTAAGGGCTCAAAGCCCCACGGGATCGCCGTACATAGAATTGATGACGCAGCATACCCATGACGTAAGAGGAACCCAGGTCAGGTTCGTGATGTTGCTGTCGATAACAGCACCGTGCGTTGCCGCACGATCACGAAGTAGATATATAGGGGTCATGACGGCGACTACCCGCGGGCACCGGCGCACCCCGGATTCCCTCGGAGCGATCATCGCGTTCGCGACAGCCTCATTGCTGCAATGCTAATCAAATTGGTGAATGCTCTTTAACTATGTAAATGCTCACACTTAACCTGTGTAATCATCTTGTTGTTCAGTACTTTTCCCACTTTGCTCCAACTGAAAGACTGTGTCCCAATCTACGAACTTGTATATTCTAACCACCGTGGACTTGCTGTTGCAGCCGGAGAATTCCTCAATACCAAGGTGCTTTTGTCATTGTTTATAACGTTCTAGGTTTTGCCACAATGGTGATTTCAGTCTTCTCCGTCACTCTGCACAATATAACTTGTTCTCTTTTAGGTTTTTCAACATTCGCAGCGTAGTAGAGCATCTAGTGTCACGAGCTCTGGTCGAGGTGGAATGGGTGATAATGCCAAGCTTATTCAGGATCTCATTCAATTTTACATAGAGGGAGAGGTGGGCATAATTATTCGAGATTATTTATTTGCTGTACATTAAGCTTGTTTAAGTGTCACGAGCATGCTACTTATCTGGTCGATGCGTTGATCGATACGAATCCAATGATAAAAGATTGGCAAACAATGGTGGATCTTTTGTTGAGCGATGAAGGTGGGTTGTCTCCAATGAACCTTCTTCTCTCACTGTTTTTTTTTCTTTCAAACTTTGACGTTTCCGCTTATCCAGTAATCTATTTTTACCCCAAATTTTTTCGTTTGTTCTTCTCTTCTTCCTTTGTCTTTTGAGTTTTCCTTATACTAACAGGTTCTCCACGTTTTTGCATCGTTACAAATTTTTGATTGTAAGATCTTCGAAAATCTTTCAGTGGAATCAAGCGAGTCGCAGTTGATCGAAGTTTTGGTGTGCTCTGTTCGTCAAGCTGCTACGGGTGATCTACCAGTTGGTAGGTCAGTCGTCAAACGAGGAGCGCCTTCTACCAAGGAAAGCCGTACTCTTGTGGAAGATCGTACTCGGCTGTCAGAAGTTCTCATTCCTGCACTCCCAAAATTATTACAGAAGGTGAGTAGTGAAGCTCATCTACGGATCTGTGAATTGTGGCGCATTTACTTTTCATTTGAGAGGCAGTCTTTCAAATGACCCTTTTCGTGCTTTTGCTATCTTTACGTCCTTTTCGATCACTGCTCGCATATTTTCTTTTTTGTTACCCCAATACTAGGTGTGCTTTCTTCGAGATAGTTGAACGAAGTTAGTTCCATTTTTACCGTGGATTGAACTGGAGCACCTTCATTTGGATTCGATTCATTTAATCTAGAGTGACTGTTACGGCGAAAATTGCAAATCAGAAGGGTGTGGCAATCGTTTCCGTTCGTTTTGATATGAGTACATCGTGTTTCACATTTCAGTTCATCGCAGATCGCGACAAAGTTGCAAACTTGATCACACTGCCGCTCAATTTTCAATTAGATATGTATATGGCCGGTCGATTGGAGAATGTGAGTTTGTGCTCCTCCCTTTTTTT